GAAACCCGTAACACCTAAATCGTTTTGAAAAGAAAGAAAATAAGTTGACTGTTGGTCAACCGTCTAAAGAACCGAATGTAAAGTTGAATTGATTTTTATTAAAAGGATAAACATATGCACGATCTTAATTGTTGAATTATTATGTTTATTCTTGTGCTACAATGGAGTACCACTCAGCGTCAATGCTGAGCGGATAGCGTTGTTTTCCTTTTTGCTGTCCGTAGGTGATCAGACAGATGAACCTAGAGCCGATCCCAGAGGGCATTGAGGAGGAGATGTACGATGGCGTGGCTGTCTCTTTAATCTGTTGATTATGCTTTATTTAATTAACTTTAATGCTTATTACGTTTTCGGGCAAGATCCCAAGTTGTTTGACTTTAAAAAGGCTTCCGCATTATTTTAAATTACTCCAATGGATTTTTATATGTATTGATAGAACGTTTGTTTAAAATTGTTTTGAAAATGTCGCAAATTCGGATACCAATTCAGTGGCACACCGGTCCGCTGTCTCACGGGTTTGGGTCATGCGGGTTGGGGTGTTACAAGTTAACAAACTTCTGAGAAAAGATGTGAATTTTGTATGGACCGATGCATGTCAGCAAAGTTTTGAGAAACTAAAGAAATGTCTGTCAGAAGCACCTGTGCTGACCCAACCAGTACCAGGTGTAGACTACACAATCTTTAGTGACGCATCTCATAATGGTTTGGGATGTGTACTCATGCAAGACGGAAAAGTCGTGGCATACGCATCAAGACAGTTGAAACCTCACGAATGTAACTATCCTACTCATGATCTTGAGTTAGTAGCAGTTGTATTTGCTCTGAAAATATGGCGTCATTACCTTATTATTTTAGAATGAATCAAGAATCGACCCACGGTCAGTACGTTCCGGAGCCGGAGCACGTGAGCGTGCACACGGTGAACACCGAGGGTTCGAGTTTCACGCCTCCGGGTGACGGAGGGCAACAGCAGAATCAACCTGCGCCAGCGGGACAGCCACCATCTGTACCACCACCAGTCGTACCACCTCCAGTGATGCCACCGTTGGTGATGCCGCAGGTGGCCTACGAGCAGATGTTCCTGGCCATGATGGCCCATTATATGCAGCACATGGCGCAGTTTATGCCCATGTTCCAGCCACCGCCACCACCACAGCCGCAACCGCGCATCGTTACCTTCAAGATGTTGAAGGATAATGGAGCGGAAGAGTTCCGAGGAGACAATATGGGGGAGCCCCAGATTGCATTGGATTGGCTTGAGCAGATGGACCGGGTACTCAAGAATTTGAGAGTCCCAGATGCTGATCGCTCGGAGTTGGCGTCACAGATGTTCCGGAAGGGAGCATATGATTGGTGGAAGCGCATTGACCAGGATCCACACACGCCCAAGCCGTGGACCTGGGATCGCTTCGATCGAGCCTTCACGAAGGAGTACGTCCCCACCCGGTACC